CCCGGCGCGGCGGGTGGTGCCCGAGGCCCGGGCCGGGCACCCGCGGGGCCTCCGCCCTGTACGTTGTGGGGTCCCCCTCGCTTTTAGCGGCGGCTGGGAGGCGCCTCTCGGTTGTCTCCGGTCGGCCGAGCTTCTCGTGCCCTCCCTCCCCGCGGTTCGGTCCGGTTCGGCCCGGGAACCGCGTCCTGCTCCTGCAAATAAAGCTCACGGCCGGGCGGGAGACTGGAGCTGAACCCTGAGTCCGCGTTTAAAAAAGCATAAGTATCTTAAAGTATGGTCGACTTACTGAGAATTTAGTTTGCTAACGAAAATAGGAAGTCGCTTTTAAATTGAAGTTTACAGCAGGTGACAATTCCTGCTTTAGCTCATGTACTTGGAGCACTTGACCCACTTTGCGTTTAATCTGCTTCACTATAGTTCCACCTTGCTTGCAGCATTGCATATCAAATACTGAAGGAGTGTTTAATAAAACATCTTTGGCTTTTTAGTTGATACAAGTGAAACTGCTTTTAATTTGGTAACTCTAACCAGCTCAGTTTCAGGTTGTGTCCCTATACTTAGGCTTGGATGCACTCAAATCCTGAACAGGGATGTTGACGGTGTTTAGTACACTCTGAACATGCCGGTAGGGTACACTGGGAAATTATTGATCACTCAGCTATCCTTAAAGAAGCCTTTTAGAATAAACCCTCCAAATAAAAAGAACCTGCAGCAAATAGGTTTTCATTATCGTATGTGCCCGTGTGTGCCTTGTGTTTTATTTTCAGTAGTGCCTGAGATACTTTCTAAAAAATGAACCAGAACAGGCCGAGTCATGCTAGTTTGCTCTTCCTGACAGCTTTTTGTGCTTATGCAGATGGTTTATGTTAAATGTAACAGCACCTCTCTTATGCTTTCACAAAGGAAAAAAAACCTGCTGGGCTTCACACATCCACTATTAAAGTAGAGTTTTGAGGTTTTGTTTTTCCATTTTAACAGAATTTAAGGTTATATCTAAAAGCGTGTTGTCATGGAGCTTGTCTTGCCAATACTGGCATGATTTGACAGGTGCTCAGAAGCACACGCCCTCGGTGGTTTGTGTTAGCAACTTTCAGCTTTGAGTTGTAAGTGTACAAAATCACTCCTGTCACTCCTGAGCTGCAAATACCAAAGAGCAGTTCGTTTGAAGAACGCGAACTTGATGCTCTCACATAATTTTTTGAGACGTCACTACTTTTTACTTTGCACTTTCTTCACCTCGATTAAGGTCTTAAAATACAGCTGACTGCCATCTGAGTACGCTTGTGAAGACAGGTTGTTTTTTTGGAAAACCAGTTCCCTCAGACAGTTTGGCTTTCTCCCTGATTTAATGTAGTGGTGCAGATC